GTCAAACCCTGGTGGCAGCCAGTTTGTTTTTATTATTAGGACACTTAAGCACGTAATCACTCCATATATGGATTTCGCATTTCCTAATATGGTAGGATGAAAATACCCTGTAAAATACCGCAAAATTATGGCACGCTGTAACTTATGGCGTTACGGTGACAGATGTATACTAATAGTGATTAATGGACTAGACTGTCATTTAACAGATATAAATCATTAATCAAAATTACTGTATGCCTGCCTATAACTGGTGACTTCACAATTGCCTGCCTTGTAGTCAAGTTACGTCTAATAGGCAATGTACTGTCACAAATTTAAATAAAATTTCCAGTTCTTATACTGTATACATACGTTGTTATACTGGTAACCTTATAATATAGTCAATGATATACAGGAAATAATATTCTTGGAAAGCAGAGCTAGTAATTTTTGGTTAGACAATTTTAGAATGTTACCAGCCCTGATATCAATATAGCAATAACTATTGAGAAGTACAACAATACTTTTAAGTAAAAAGACCACATAGTGGCATGATACGTCCCAGAATCAACCAGGTCAAATACAAGAATCTGCAGACTTTGAAGGTTGTCGTCATGACCGTGTAAATTTAATATGTTAAAATTTTAAACACCACATTTTGACCCACATGCTGTTATCCATGCTTGCACCCAAATTAAATGAACATGGGTGTGTATGACTACCACCATTTAACAAAGTTTCCTCTACATCTATAAGTTGCACACCCACCCATTGACGGATTGGACCTCATTTTTTTGAAGAGTATTGAGTTCTTGAGGTGCATGTGCATCTCAAATTATACAAATGACTAAATCCAAAATACCTTTTTAATGAGCCAGTCAAATATATCATTTGTAGGATAAGTCTTCATATCCTCTTCATCAGCTTCTGTTACTGTGGTAACTGGCACACAGCCTGCTGGGAAGTCCAACATGTTGAATAAAGAGGAGTAGGAAGCAGCCACTGCAATATAAGGTATAGAGTTATTAACAAAATATAAACATAGTGATTTGTGTTAAAAGATATGATATATACTGTAAAATACTTTATTTAGCTGAAATTATCTTTCGAACATGCTGAAAATCCATTTTGGTTGTTTTGTATGACGTTTATTTTTTTTGATTTTTAATGAGTTGAATGTAATAAGAAAAAAGATAAAAATAGCAAAATTAATTCTGAGTGAAAATAAAGTAATTTACAGTAGAGTTATTAAATCTACAAAACATGTACAAAATGTATATATTTATTATTCAACGCTAAATAAGTGAAATCTTAAAAATAAAGGACACCATGACAGAGACAGATTAAACTTGAACTTCTATATATACCATATTTTATAAAGTGATCTCAAAGTATAAGAGACAAGGAATATATTTCCACAAACTTTGGTTCCATACGGACAAATCCGAATACTACCTGGTTACGGTAGTTGCTATCACGGCCAGTCAATGTGTTCATCTCATGTGCCAAACCAAAAACAACAGAGAAATATTTTTAATTAACCTCTCATTACTATTGCATGAGAGAAGTAATTCTCTTGACTTCCCTGGAATGCTAACATCTAAGTTACTATTGCCAGTATTAACTGATTTAACTTACTAGCCAGACGTCCAGATTGTTGTGATGTACATGCGGGTATAGCAAAAGCAGGGCAGATCAATACGTCTAATTCACTCTCATTCCATGCTTTCAAGTATTCATTTATATAGGCCTAGATGGTAATAAAACACAATACCAGTCAGTGGTTTAAGAGGAATTTATGGCCTACAAGTTGACAGATGTTTTTGGCCCGCATAGAAAGGTATGGGCTTGATATTTAATGTTTAGAACAACATACATCATTTTAAGTCACCAATGCTTGAGTGATTGAGAAAAAAAGATACACATACACAAACAAATTCCAAAATATAAAATAAATTGTTGGTGTGAAAGTGAAATAAATGAAAACAAACAAACCTCTCGGTTGGCATGTAACTGCCACAGATCATAAATTGACCTAGAAAAAAATTTAAATTCCCATATTACGTAGCTCATTTGCAGTTTTAATATAGGATTTCTTCTATACTAACAGCAAAAGATTCTGAATTAGGATACCAAATTTGATCTAATAGAAGTGTATTAAAACTTTCAATGGATCCAACTTTTTTACATAAGCAAACATTAGGCCTGACATCTCCACCCCTAAAACATAGTTAAACTCTGGTGACCTTGCACTTTTGTTATATAATATTATTTATCATAGTTTGTTTCAATATGAATATGCATTGTCGTAATTAATTTTGAATACAAACAAGTTTTAGAATTCAAACAGCAGTGGGAAAGCAGTCTCCCAAAAATCCTTGATTGATGTAAGTATCTTACAAAAACATTGGTGCCTAATTTGTTTAATTATTTTAAGATACATAATTTCCAATTGGTTGAACGGGACGAAAAATTGTAGTTGTATGCAAATTTTTCATAGCACATATTGTGCCAAAATATCTATTTACAAGGGAATTATTATTCATTGTCTTGTGAGGGGGTATAATTCACATCACACATTGGTAGCAGAAAATCTTTTTGGGGGAGGGGGATATAATTCGTATTGGAAGCAGAATAACTACCGGTACACATATTGGGGACATAAAATTATAA